CATCCATCCACCCCCACCCTACCCCCACCCATCCATCCATCCACTTATCCATCCAGGCTTCTTCCGAACCAGGATATCTAAAGTTATGGTGCTTAGAAGGTAACCCATTCTACTCTAGAAAACATTAGAATCTTTTGGGAGAGTAAAGGTACAGATGGTGAAGGTAGCCACCTTAAAGAGAAAGAGGACTTAAATACTGGGGTGAGTTGAGGAGATTGTTCCTAAACTGCTGAGCTGATGGTTGTGGGGACACCCACAGACCAGGATATGATAGAGTTTGCTATAGGAAGAGACTGACTTTTATTTGCGGTGTACACTACCTTGCAGGAAACACAAAAGAAGCTAACATGAAGGGGCTACATTAATACTCCCTCCCTACATGCTACTCTTAAGAGGACTGTTGCTCTATGGAAACTGAGACATTTGTCTTACATCCCAGGCATAATATATGATCAGAAAACTCAGCTTTCCTTCTGGTGGGCTAGGTTGCACTCAGATGTGCGAAGATCAATTGCTCTTTTTTCTTCTCCCCACATCTCAGTCCAGACAATATTGAGAGGATTTAAAAAAAAAATCAGTTCCAATCATCCAGAGTCATTGAGAAAAGATGGTATTAATCTATGGGACATTAGAAGGCCACCCTTCTGGCTTACATCCAATTTCTGTCATCATAACTAAAGTCTCTTGTAAAAATCCATTGCCACTAACTGCTGAACATGCAAAACAAGCAGTTGTGGGAATTTTGCCCAGTGTGTCACAGGCTCTCCCAGCCCAGAACTTCAACAATTTAGCAGGTAACCTATTGGACACAAGGCTGAAACTTATTCCCAGAACTGAATATGACACAGTAGCTTCAAGGCAACAAGAGGTATTGGGGTATTGATTAGGGGACTAGATCACTCCCAGGAAATGGAGGTTGAAATTCACATCTCATTATTATTCTCAGTGGGTGAAATTTAGCCAATTGCTATTTATCAGCCTAATCAACCTCAGCAGAAAAAAGGGAAGTTGAGTTTCCTTATGTTCCTTGAAGGAAAGGCAGTATTTAGGGTAAAGCTCTCCTGGATTCCTGATGACTTTATGAACAAAAACAACCATGAAGTTCTAATAGCAACAATTTAAAAACAGTTGCCTTCTTCCAAAAGATGATTTGGACTTCCCAGTGTGGGCTTCACTTCTAATATTCCCCTGTAGTCTCATGTTTTGGGAATATCAGGTCCTGCTTAACTTTCAAGATTAGCTAAGGGCTGCCACCTGCTGTAGATAAGAGCAATGCATAAACAACCAACAGCCAACAACCAAGTATTGGAAGAACCGTGGGGTAAAAATGTAAGAATCAACATTAGGATCTACTCATGCTGTGGCCAATTGGAACTAAAATGCCAGAAGTTATTATTGCTTTCCAGATAGTGCACTTTAAAAAAAAACACTGCTGTTTAAACATTTAAAATAGTGTTTAATATTTGCAGAAAGATGGAGGGCAATGAGGCAGGCAGCCATGAGTCTGCATAGTTTTTGCAGAGGAAAAGTCTCAGTCTCATGTGCTTACAATCTAAAGTGAAATGGAAGAAAAACAACTGAGGAAGGGGAGAAAAACTTTGTCCAGCCTGGTTCCCTTTAAATCTCTCTTCCTTAGGACTTCATGTTAGTGGCTGATGTGCCCATTTTTGTCAGCATTCACACCCACACAAACATGCAAATATGAGTGCAATCTATTCCTCTCCCCTCCTCTCTTCTCTTCTCCTCCCCTCTCCCCTCTCCTTTCCTCTCTTTTTTCCTCCTTTCCTTTCTTTCCCCTTTCTCCTGCCTTTTTTTTTGCTCCCTGCTGAAGCTTGGCACACAGTAACACATCCACTTTCTTTAGGAGATGTCCTGCCCTTAACCTTTCCCCAATCTTCTGTGCAACAGACAGTTTCATTTCACTTTATGCTTCAGAAAACAGCAGTCATATGAAAAACATCTGCTCTCGTTTTCTCCTTACAATGCATTTCTCCAAGTTGAATTGACTATGCCCTTCCATCATCACTTTTCCTAAATAAATAAATAAATAAATAGGCAAGGAACCCACAAGTTCTCCTCTCCCCCTTCCCCACCAACCGGTCTCCTTTGAAATCCCATGAACTCAGCAATTATTTAGCCAGTTTCTCAAAGGAGTGTCAACTACTCTAATTAAACTTATAGTCCCTGAGCATTGTGGGTAAAATGATTGGTGAAGTTCTGTGGAAAACGTGTCCCGTACTGCTGACAGCCATTGCAAAGACTCACCTACGGTTACAAGACAGCAGCAGAGAAATGTTTTCTGATGATCAAACAATGAATTCATAGAACAAACAAAACTACTGTACTTACAGAAATACTGTCGTGCATGGAAATCTGAGCAACCCAGTTTGGCTTTCTAGTTTTCCATTGCCTCTTTCCCTGTCACATTTTGAATGATGCTCTTTTTGTACTATATATATATATATATATATATATATATATATATATATATATATATATATATATATATATATATATATA